TCTTAGGCACCCAGGGGAATAGACTCGAGCCACAGACATTTGAGGAATGAGAGTGATTTAGTTTTCGAGGCCGCATTGGGCCTTTTTTTGTGGGCTCGACAGGTTTAATACGTTTTCGATTTTTGGGGATGCGTGTTGCATTTCTCGCGGTTCATCGATCGGCTTGGGACTCTTGTAGCGGGCGTTGGAGCTTAAGTCCTGCAGGAGCCTCGAAGAAGTAAGCTGCCATGAACTCCAACGGCCAGCCAGCGCTTTCTTTCTCTTCTTGTCTTAAGGCGGGCGTGTCCCTCTACAGGAGGAATCTTCAAGAACAGTATCAACAACATCCTGGCGACGTGTTTTTTTTTTTTTTTTTTTTTGTGTGTGTGTGTGTGTGTTTTTCGATTGTTTATGCTGTTTTTTTGGACTAGCTCTTGGTTTTCTTCCAACATCCGCCTGCAGGAGGACATGCCCGACCTGACCCTTGTCTCTTCTGTCTTTCTCGGTCACCTCTTTCTCTGTCCCTTCTTCTCCTGCTAGTGTGGGCTGCAGCTGGACTTCTGCGGTTCACTCGGGATCTTGGGCTCGGGGTCTCGTGCGCCTCTACGGGCTTGCTTCTCGAGAGGTTCGTGTGTCACCTCGGGGGCTTCAGAAGAACCATTGGTGAGCATCGAGGGCAATACTGGACTCCGCAAAAGTTCTCGAACAACAAACGACACCGTAGCGGAATTATACATCGGAGGGTGTACGTTCTGGACAGCTGGAGGGAAAGGATGGTAGAGGGAGAAGAGGAGGATGGGCAGGACCTACGTCTAGATACGTAACTTATCCTTTGTGCTGTTGCTATGCGCATGTTTTTTGTTTTGTTTGTGTTCTCTCTCTCTCTCTCTGCTGCTTCCATTTCATCACTCTGTCTATATTTCCATATATATATATACATACGTGTATGTATGATTCAATGTTTCGCACTTCTGCGACGGCACTCCCCAGCGCGCGTACGGACTGCCAGCGGGCTGACATTCGAGCCGACAATGTGGAACAATATGGAGCGTCTAGATCTTTTGGACTTCGAGACGACACGGTTTCGGTAGTTTCCGCTGCCGGCCAATTATTCCAGTTTCCACTGTATGATTCTTATCATTTCAGTACTTCTCAGTGTAAACGATTATGCTTTACGGCGTTCCGCTCAGAATCCGAGATAACATGCGACACCAGTCTGAATGATTTCAATATTTGTTAAGGTCTTCCAACAGTGACTTGTCGGTTCTTCGATTCGTCATGCATGTGTAATTTCGTTATTTTCAAAATATCAATAAAACTATTTAGGCGGTTTTCGCTGAATTCCGTTACGATAATTATTTTTTCTTTCATAATATGTGGTAATGCGTGGCAACAGTCTGAGTCATATGCTGTAAAATCTCAAAATGTGCGAATCATTGAATGGTTGTTATTGAGGGTAGTCGCGCAAGTGTCATTTTTGGGAATTATTGATTTGATTGCGATTGTGCCAGTCGTCCTCAGTCTGTTTTGTTAGGTTTCTCAAACTATGAGGTTCTGCACAACAGAGTTATTTAGCAATTTTCAATATCAAGTTCAGGTTCGTGTGACCATTGGGCTTTTAATCATTACATTTTTTGCCTCGGTAATTTCAGTGCGTTTCGTTGCGGTGTAAAGGGGTTGTTGTTCATAATATTTGGTATTCGTTTCGCAGTCGGAGGGGAGTTCATTATGTTGTATATTGTTCAAACATTGGGCGAACAACTACCTGTGCAATCACGCATGCCAGCGATTTCGTCATCCTCATACTGATGAGTATATGTATGTTGGTAGTTACCATTTTATGTAATTGTATGTTGTGATGTGCTTCAGCAAAGGCCCAGAGTCATGCACGAATGCACGCTAAGTTTCTTGTACAATCGTGTAAACTTATCACACGATTGAGTAGTCGTTTATAGTAATGATGCTGATGATTTAATTGTTCGGTTATGTTTTTTTTATTGTGAGTCGAATGACTAGTTGTGTGCCCTATGTTTCGTTGAAGTTGAATAATCATGCAAGGGTAGGGTAGGGTCTCGTAATTCTCACAATTCTTAACCTAATGTTCCCATTAGTTGTTCCCAAACATTATGTGGTGTTGGGTCCCCGTTTCGAAGAGACAGCGCCCTGCGTGCTGTCTTCCTCTCCTCCTCTCCTCCTCCCCCTCCTCCCTCCTCCAATTCGTGCCCCTGCTCTCCGCGTGCTGCGATCACCGTTAGCATCGTCATCATCATCGTTATCACCACCGCCATCGCCATCATCCACATCATCATCATCATCAGCATCATCATCATCATTATCATCATCACCATCATCATCATCATCATCATCATCATCATCATCATCAACATCACCATCACCATCACCATCACCAAGGCCAGCATCGTGAAACACCCTTCACCTCCCACTCCTCTCTCCTCCCATCCTTGCCTCTGCCGTCCGCATGTCTCTGCTTCTTCACACTTCTCACACGCTTCGTGGCCCCATAGGGAGCTTCACCGAAGGCCTCATTATCATCGCCATCGTCAATATCGTGCCTCTGCTCTTCGCATGCGTATCATGTCGGCGCAACCCTCACACTGTTCGTGGCCCTATGGGGAGCTCCACCGAAGGCCTCAGTGGCAGGGTCCGCGTGCGCCCGACGCTCACCCTGACACACCCCTCACACGGTTCGTGGTCCCATGGTGAGCTCCACGGAAGGCCCCAGCGGCAGGTTTCGCATGCGCCCGACGCCCATTTTGGCACGCCCATTACACGGTTCGTGACCCCATGGGGAGCTCCACCAGAGGCCCCAGTGGCAAGGCCCGCATGCGCCCGGCGCCCATTTTGACGCACCGCTCACACGGGTCGTGGCCCCATAGGGAGTTCTACCGAAGGCCCAGTGGTGGTGTTCGTATGCACCCCCACCGACGTTTTCGACACATTTTGGCACACCATTCACACGTTTCGTGGCCCCATAGAGAGCTCCACCGAGGGCCTCAGTGGCGGTGTTGGCATGCTTCCCCGCCACACATTTCGGCACACCTCTCACACGCTTCGTGGCCCCATCGGGAGCTCCACCGAAGACGATGTTCACAACTGCGTTATTCATCTTTGCATTTGGTTGGTTCTTCGGCAGGCTAAGTCACGTTTTCAGGTTTTGCCGTTCATGGAATTTGTTCTGCATTGTTGTATTTGGAAAAATTCCTATAGTGTATTGGGTTTTCAAGCATTGAGTGGTCGACCATTTGAGTGATTGGCGGGTTGTGCCGCACGCAGTATAGATGTAATCGAGAGTTATTGAGATTCCCCGATCTCAGATTTGACTAGTTAGTCTTTTGTTATTTGCCAGTTTCTTTTTGTCAACCATCCTGTGGTGTTGGGTCCTCCTCCTCCTCCTCGTCATCATCATAACTTCCATCATCACCACCATCATAATGATCACCACCACCATCGTTATCATCATCATCATCATCATCATCATCATCATCAACAGTACCAGCATCAATACCGCCATGATTATCGTTCTCATCATCATCATCGTCATCATCATCATCAGTCTCACCACCATCATCCTCATCACTGTCATTATCATCACCGTCGGAATCAACAACAGCGTTTTCTTCTTCACCATCATCAGCATCATCATTATCATCACCAGCATCACTATCATCATCATCAGCATCATCATCATCATCGTCATCATCATCATCATCACCATCATCATGAGCAGCATCATCAGCATTGCTGGTAGTTTCGACATCATCGCCATCAGCTTCGGCACACCCTTCACATGTTTCTTGGCCCCAGGGTGAGCTCCACCGAAGGTCCCAGGGGCGCCGCTCGTATGCGTCCGACGCGGCCATTCTGGCACACTCCTCACGAGGATCGTGGCCCCATAGGGAGCTCCAAAGAAGGTCCTAAGGGCGTCGGCCGCATGCGTCCGACCCACCCGTTTCGGCACACCCCTCACGAGGATCGTGGCCCCATAAGGAGCTCTGCCGATGGTCCTATGGGGTGTCGGCCGCATGCGTCCGATCCACACATGTCGGCACACCCCCCACGAGGTTCGTGGCCCCATAAGGAGCTCTGCCGATGGTCCTATGGGGTGTCGACCGCATGCGTCCGATCCACCCATCTCGGCACACTCCTCACGAGGATCGTGGCCTTATCGAGGGCTCTGCCGAAGGTCCCAACGGTGCCGCCCGCAGGCGTCCGACCCGTTTCTGTCGGCACACTCCTCGTGAGGATCCCGAGGGCACCTGAAAGGCCCCACGAGACCCCCAAGAACCCCCCCCGAGAAGCACCACGGGATGCCTCCCCGCACGATGGCCCCAAGAGGCCCCCCCGAGGTCACTGCCCCCTCCTCGCCTCCGCCCTCCTCGGATCTCCCGCCTCCGTCCTCGCCCCTCGCCCCTCAGTTGCCGCTCCTCCCTTTTCGCTCCCCGCCTCTCGCTGATCGCTCCTCGCTTCTGAACCCCTCCCTCGATCTCTTGCCGATCCTGACTCACCGATCCTGCCCTAGCAGCAGACTGCGCCAGCTAGCCGAGGTATCGAGACACATCACCCTGCAGCAAGCAGCAACAGCAGCATCGGGCAGCAGCAGCAGGAGCGAACGGCAGCAGCAGCAGCAGCAGCAGCAGCAGCAGCAGCAGCGAACGGCAGCAGCAGCGAACGGCAGCAGCGCGAATCACGAAACCAACACCATCAGTGGCAGCCCACAGCAACAGCAAGCAACCCCAGCAGGCATCGGGCAAACACGCACGCCGAGCAGAACTTGCACGCAGCAGCACCCAGCAGCCATCATCAGCAACAACACCCAGCAGTGGCAATACTGACCGACATCACGCAACAGCGGCAGCAGGTAGCAGCATGCAGTATCATGCGCGGAGTGCGAAGTCCGAACCCCACGTGATCATTCCAGCCTTTCGGCAGTATGTCCACAATCCACAATCACATGCCAGCTCGTACAGATTTAGTGGACGTAGTCCACGGGTCAGCCTCAGTCTGCTACAGCGTCGGGATCAGCGCGTGCGAGAAAGGCGGGCAGTGGGAACAGGCGCTGTCGTTGCTCAGCGCGATGCGGGAGGTGAATTTGGAGCCCGACGTCATCAGCTACAGCAGTGGTATGAGTGCGTGCGGAAAAGTCGGACAATGGAAACAGGCGTTGTCTTTGTTCAGCGAGATGTTCGAGACGAAAGTTGAACCTAATGTCTTCAGCTACAGCGCTGGGATCACCGCGTGTGAGAAAGGCGGGCAGTGGAGGCGGGCGCTGTCGCTGCTCAGCGAAATGTTGGGAGCAAAAGTGGAGCCAAACATCTGACTGCCTGCGTTGCATGGCCCTGCTCGCAGGAGAAAGGCTCCCGTACCAAGCTGGGTAGACCTGCCCAGCTGGGCAGTAGCTCAGATGGGCAGCAGCTCGGATGGGCAGCGCCTGGAGCATCCTGGAGGCTTCCCGACGGGCCCAGGGGGCTTTAGGATCCCCCGAAGACGGCCCCAGAGGACCCCATGGCTAAGGTGGCTCTATAGGAGGGCCTCACGCAGCCTCGGGGTGCTTCAAAGGGCTTCCAGGAGACCATGAGGAATCCCGGAGGGCCCAGAGATGGCCGGGGAGAGCCTGAGGACTATGCAAGCTGGCCTCAGGATGTCCCCAATGTGGATCAAGAGAGTCCCAAGCCAGTCCAGGGGCCCAAGGAGTCTCAAGTTCCAAGAGGTCCTGGAGTCCCCGAGCAGCAGCAGCAAGTAGACAGCAGGCAGCAGCAGCAGCAGCAGCAGCAGCAGCAGCAGCAGCAGCAGCAGCAGCAGCAGCAGCAGCAGCAGCAGCAGCAGCAGCAGCAGCAGCAGCACGCGGCAATAGCAGTCGCGGGCATCAGCAAGCAGCAGCAGACAAGCAAGCAGCAGCACTGACGAACCAGCAGTAAGCAGCAGCTTCAGCAAAGAGTCGCGAGCGAACAACCGCAGGCAACAGCAATACAACAAGAAGCTGCAGGAAACGGCGGGAACCCGAGGTAGCAGCTTGCTCTACGTGGTAAGTTTTATCCGCCTCTCCGTGCTCCGAGCAGGGCTGTTCTCCCAAGTGCCGTCGCCTCAGTGCCATGCCATGACGTCCAGTGCTGCAACGTGCTACGTCGTGTCTGTCGTGCCGTGTGACAAGCAGGATATTGTGCTGTGCCATGTTGCGTCTGCCGTGCCATGTCGCCGGCAGCCCCGCCCTACTAGATGCTTCTTATTTGCATCCCTACGCTCGAGTGCGTTTTCATTGCCAGGAGTCCAGGCGTGAGTCCCGGTCAGCTACAGTGCCGGAATCAGCGCGTGCGAGAAAGGCGGGCAGTGGGAGCAGGCGCTGTCTCTGCTGGTCGCCGCTCGGAAGGCGCAGCTGGAGCCGGACATCATCGGCTACAGCGCCGGCATCAGCGCGTGCGAGAAAGGCGGGCAGTGGCAGCAGGCGCTGTCGCTGCTCAGCGGGATGCGGGAGAGGAAGCTGGAGCCCAACGTCATCTTGTCTCAAGTCGGGCACGTCTTTCTACGGGAGGACTATTCAAAAATAGTCGAACAATGATACGGGGAGGATTGTTTGACTACATTGGAGCTTTTTTTGAATATTCTTTGATGATTTTCAGTTCGTCATAGAAAATTCCCCTGTAGGGGGACACGCCAGACCTAGCTCTTGTCCTGCAGTGCAGGTCCTCGTGCGTACGGGGAAGGGCTCGTGGCTCGTGGTCGCGAGCTGCTCGGCGTGTCGCTCCGCCACGCGTCGGCGCGACACGCTGCGACAGGTGCGCGTCGTGCCGACCGCTGGCGACCCCAGCGCGGGCGTTCACGGTTGAGCGCCGCATGTGGCCCAAAATCGGCCCAATTTTGGACGGATCCGGCCTTTTTGACAGGGCCGATCGTTCAGGTTTGAGCGATCCCCGCGGTGTCAGTCGGCCACGCGCAGAGGGGGGTTAGGGGGAGGGGCGAAGGCTTCTTAGAAGCACCCGTGCTTCTTAGAAGGCGCGGGCCTTCTCTATGGATGTAAGGCGGGCGCCTTCTAAGAAGCGGCCTCCTTCTAAGAAGCCTTCCCCCCTCCCCCTACCCCCTTTGTGCGCGCCGCCAAGTCAGGAACCTCCGCCGGGGTCGTCACGACGCCAACCTGCCGTAACCGTGTCCCAATGCCCATGCGTCACCGTCCCAGTCTCTCCCAGCCCAGCCTCCCTGCCCGGCGGAGCGGCACGCTGTCTGCTTTAAACAGGGCCTGTCCCTCTACAGGAGGAACATTCAAAAATAGTCAAACAAATTGTCTGGAGACGTTTTTTGAGCATTTTTCGAATATCTTTGAATATTCTTTGGTATCGTTCATCTTTCCTCCAAAATATCTCTGTAGGAGGACATGCCCGACCTATCGCTGAGCTCGTGACCGTAAGTGGCCCACAGGACTGGTGTGGGGTGGACGAGGGCCATCGTCTGGAGCGTCCCAGAGGCCTCAAAGAGGTCCCCGGGGACCCCCGATGCTGATCCCCAAGATGCTTCGCAGATAACTAGCCCGATCTGCTTCCGCCTGGGAAACTTGAAGACGCTCGATGGAGCCTCCGAAGACGGTTCAAGATGACCCAAGTGGTTCTGCACGGCGCACTGGAGGCCCAAAGAGATGCCCCAGACAGCATGCATCTCATAATCAGAGTGAGTGTGTGTGAGTGTGTGTGTGTGTGTGTTTGTTCGATTCTATTCTATTCGGCCCAAGACGGTTTCAGCAGGGCTCCGGAGGGTCCCTGAGTGCCCGGGAAGCTTTCGAGACTGCCCCAGGATGGCCTCCAGCCGGCCCAAGAGGGAACCCAGAGGCCCCCAGGACGGCCCTGGCCCCAATGCGGCCCAAAACGGCATCGAGAGCCCCGAGACGCCCCAAGGCGGTCTCAGCGGATAAAACGGACCCCTGACAGGCCAAGAGAGCCCCAAGAGGGCTTCAAGAGGCGCTCTAGGTGGCCCTGAAGGCCCCGCAGGGGGATTTCAATACGGTCTCAGAAAGCATAAGAGGCCCAAGAGGCCCCATAACTGTTTCGAGATCACCCAACACCAGCGGCAGAGCGAACAACAAGAGAAGAACAGCATTTCGCTTAAGCGATCCCCACCAATAAGTTTCCAGTGTGTCAAGATGCGATGCATTCCCCTAGTGTATTTTATTGATGTGTATTCATGATGTCTGTTCTTGGTGCTCGTTCTTGATGCCAGTTCATGGTATCTGATTTGGGCATATCTTCTTGGGGCTTGTTCTTGGTGTGTGTAGTGGTGTATGCGCTTGACACTTGCTCTTGGTGTATGTTCTTATTGTGTATTTACAAGGAGCGTTCTTTTTGTATGTTCTTGATGCATGGGTTACATTATGCTATTGATGTGCGTTCATGACGCCTATGCTTCACGAATGCTCTTGGCGTATGTTATTGGTGTTCGCTCTTTATGTCGGTTTCTCGTGCAGGTGTTTGATGCCTTCTCTTGAGTAGTGTTCTTGATGCGTGCTGTTGATGCCTGTAAGTGGCGTTTGTTCATGCTGTCTGTTCTTGGGACACGCTCTTGGTCTGTGCGTGTGCGCGTGTTACTAATGCTGTGTGCAAGTGATATTTGTTTCGAGGTCTACATTGCAGGTGTCGGACATTGATGCTTGTCCTTGCTGTTGGCTCTTGATGCTTTTTTGACGTCTGTTCTTGATGCAAGCTATTGATGCCTATGTCTGACGTGTGCTCTTGGTGCTGATTCTTGGTGTATGGTCTTGGTTGTCTGCTCTGGATGCTTGTTGTTGATACCTGTTGCTGGATCTCTGCTCTTGATGTGAGCTCCCGGTGTCGGTTCTGGGTGTCCATTATGGGTGCACGTTTTGGGTGTCATGTATGCTTCTGGCGATGCATGTTTTTAGTGTGAGGTATCGATGTGTGTGTTCTCGATATCTGTTAGTGATTCATGCTCTGGATGTCTGTTCTAGATGCCTCTGGACGGCGTGATGTCGTGACGCCTTGACGGCGTGACACCGCGGTAGGCAGGGCGGGCGAGGAGGCGCGGCATCCAGGGATCACCCGGATTATATATTTTGGGTCTGCAGGGTGGGCGAGGCGGGTCGCATGCGTTTGTTCGTTCATCTAACAACCCCAGCTTGTTTGGTGGACAAAGAATTTGCAGCAGCAGAGCCTGTAGCAGCAGCATCCAGAAGCAGCTGGCAATAAGCACACCAACAGGTCGTAGCATCAGGCGGCAGCAGAAAGCAGAAACAGCAGCAAGCAGCAGCACTCCGCAGCAAGCGGCAGCAGGCAGCGGCAAGCAGCATCAGGTCGCAGCAGGCAGAAGCAAGTAGCAGCCAGCGGCAGCGAGCAACACGATGGGCATGTTTTCCACCACCACCACCATCAGTTGGAGGGGGGGAAGGAGGTGGAGGATGAGGAAGAGGAGGAGGCAGAGGATGAGGAGGAGGAGGAGGAGGAGGAGGAGGAGGAGGAGGAGGAGGACCCCCTCTCCCTCCAACTTCTGGTGGTGGTGGTGGATCACAAGCCCACCACAGCAAGCAGCAGCAGCCAGCATCCAGCAGGCGGCAGGCGGCAGGCGGCAGTCGGCACGCCGCACGCAGCACGCAGCGGCAGCAGGCAGCAACCGGCAGACGGCGGCAGGCTGCAGCGCGGGGCGGCTCGCCCACGGGCCGAAGGCCCGTTGGCGAATGCCGAAGGCCTGCGAGTCATTGGAAACCCAAGGGGTCCCCAGAAGCCCCTAGGGAGTCTGGCAACCTATGGGTTCCCCATGATTTGAGGAATCTGGCAACTTGTGGGTTTCCCGTACTTCGGAAGTTTGGGAAACCCAAGAGGTCGCCAGAAGCCCCCAGGGAATCTGGCAACCTATGGGTTTCCCATAATTCGGAGGTGTGGGAAACCCACAGATGGACGACTGCCCGCCGATGCTGCTTTTTGTGGACGTGGTCTAGGGGTCCGACCCTCGTCAGCTATAGCGCTGGGGTCAGCGCGTGCGAGAAAAGCGGGAGGTGGGAGCAGGCGCTCCACTTGCTCATCGAGGCTCGAGAGGTGAAGCTGGAGCTGGACGTCATCGTCTCTACTTTCCCAGGGCCAGCACGGGCGAAAGTTTACGTCGGGCCCTCGACCCGCTGGTCCGCCTTGGCTAGACCTGCCCAGACCTCGTTAGACTCCGCCAGGGCCTTTAGCTTTCCAGGACGTGCTTCGCAACGGCTCAAATGCGTTTCCTAAACTTCCCAAGAGGAGTCACGACAGCCTTGAGACAAACCGCGCGGCCCGCATTGTCGCGATGTCTTTCCGACGCCTTCCAGCATGGCTCCCTGGCGGTGAGGCTGGAGGCTGCGCCTGGTTGGCCCAGACATGGGCCAAGTTGGCCCCGAAGGTTCTGTTGCTCCCATCGTACCCAAGAACCACATCCCAGAAATAATTTCGAGCACCCAGACCAGTATCGAAGCAGTGCCGGACGAGTATCGCCTCCCTGGGCCAGACACGTGACACTCGTGATGCGTTTGATGCTCTTGGTGCTGTCGCCCTCCTGGCCCCAACTGCCGCCGAGTGGGGCCCGCTGTGCAGCCAAGACGGTTCCAAGGCAGGTGGCCCTGCGCAGCCGCGCAGCCTGCAGGCACCGCGGGAGGCCCGGGCTCCAGAGCGTCCCCCAGGGTGGCTTCCAGATCCCCCAGGACTTGGCATCGCTCGGACGCTCGGATGTGTGTGTGTGTGTGTGTGTGTGTGTTTTGTTGTGTGTGTTTTTTCATGCTTTGTTTTTGTTCCTAATTTTTCTCGGCGGGGACCATCGAGGAGCATCCTGGATCATCGGGCCAAAATGCACGCGCGAAGCCGAACAATGCACCAGGCATGGACGTCCGAGCGGCGGCAAGAGGAGGTCTTTGGGGAGGGTCTCCCGCTTCGGCCTCGCCCGCGCCTCTCTTGCGCCTCTCTTTTGGGGCTCTCGTTGGAGGCCTTCTTGGCCGCCCTGGAGGCCTCCTGGGCCGTCCTGGGAATGCCTCTTTGTGCTGCCTTGGGGGGCCTCTTGGGCCGTCCTGGGGCCCCTCTTTGGGCCGTCTCCGGGCTCTTCCCATTTCGGGGGGGAGGCTCCTTGGGCCGTCGTGGGCCATGCCTGGACGGGGCCCGCGGGCCGCCCCGGGGCTTGCAGACGCCCGATGCGGCGAGGTCGCGAGAATTCGGAGAAGCCACTGCGAGTCCTCTGCCTCTGCTTCCGGGAGCTCTCTTGCGAGGGCTCTCTGGGGGCCCTCCTTTGGGCCTTCTTGGTGGCCTCCTGGGCCGTCCTGGGGCCATCCTGGGTGTCCTGGAGGCCCCCCCTGGCGCGCTGGAGCCCTCCTCGGGCCATCCTGGAAGGCATCTTGGGCATCCTCGATGCCACGGGTGGTGGACTTGAGGGCTCCGAGGGCCCCAGAGGTGCGTTGACGAGCTCGCCCCCCTTCCCCCTCTGACGGGAATTTGGAACCCCGGGGGAGGGGAAATTGGGGACGGGGGACAGCGAATCATCTCACACGCCTTCCCACCTCAGTGAAGCGGGGGCCGGCGAATTTCCGTCGTCGTCGTGGTCGTCGGCGTCGTCGTCGTCGTCGTCGTCGTCGTGGTCGTCGTACCTCGTCGTCGTCCCTCGTCGTCGTCGTCGTCGTACCTCGTCGTCGTCGTCGTCGTCGTCGTCGTCGTCGCTTGTCGTCGCTTGTCGTCGCTGATCGTCGTCGTCGTCGCCGTCGTCGTCGTCGTCGTCGTCGTCGTCGTCGTCGTCGTCGTCGTCGTCGTCGTCGTCCTCGTCCATCTCGGACCTCGCCTGACATCCTAGCCTCCCTCTTCCAGCCCGGCCCCTCGACACGGAGCCCTTGATTTTCGTCGTCGTCGTCGTCGTCGTCGTTGTTGTTCGCCATCGTAATTACGCCTCCCTCCCTTCCGGTCCCCCTGTCACGGAGCCCTTGATCTTCGTCATCGTCGTCGTCGTCGTCCTCCGCAGTCGTCCGCCTCTCTGGCCACCTGGGACCTCCCTGACCTCCCGGTCCCTGGACTCCCGCTTGTCCTGTCCCTCACCGCTCTCTCGTGCAATAGCCAGGGCACGCAAGCTTCTTGAGCGACGCGAAAAAAACGGGGTCGTCTGCGCCGACATTGGCGCGTGAGCTGCCCGCGTAATCTCGCGCGTGAGCGCCCTCGTCTCCAATGCAGCGTGCGGCGCGCGTGAGCCGCCGCGTAAGGTCGCTACGCCATCTCGCGTAACACCTGTTTCTGATCGTCGCCCGCTTGCTATTTTCCCAGCCCCGCCCGCAGGCCTTTAACAGGTGTCCTGTTGGGATTTCTGGGGATTGTAATGGCCTCCGGCCAGTGCCGTCGATCCAGGGGGCTCCGGATTCGGTGATTTTCGTGGCTTTGTGGCCTCCTCCCTCCTCGATTCTTCCAGTCCTCTTTCTTTTCCCTAGCCCGCTGACCCCTTTGCGTCGCGTGCTCGCTCCCCTCTCCGTCCTCGCTCGTCCTCGTTCCCGCTGGGTGGGTGCCTGAAGAGGTCCCGGGGGGAGTCAGGGGAGGGTTCCGAGGGGAGGGTCCTGGGGGCGGTAGCGGCTAGATCTGAGGGGGGTCCCTGGGACCCCCCGAAACATTTTGGGGATGCGCACATGATTAGGAAAACGCCAGGTGGGGGACCGCCCCCCCCCTCTCCCCCCCATTCCCGGACCCCCCGAAACATCTTGGAGATGCGCAAACCAGTTAGAAAACGCCAGATGGCGGACCGCCTCCCCCCCTTCTCCCCCTTCCCCGGCAGAGCCACCACGGCGCCCCCCCCCAAACAGAGCTGAAACTCTTGCTTAGGCTCAAAGCTGAAGCTATTGCTGAGTCTCCTTGTAGTTCACACGCCAGATCGGCGGATTTAGCTGGAGATTGTGGCCCGTGCTTCGGCGCGTCGCAGCCGTCATCGACTCTTCGCCCGGCGCCTCCACAGGGCTTCTCCAGTTACCCCAACCAGCAGTAGCGATTGGGAAAGCCTTCTTTCCAACATCGGGTGCCAGACCTTTTCCAGGAGCCTCCAGGGAATTGCGAAGGCCTTACGGCCGGTGCCGCTGATCTTGAAAGGTGGACGACGACGACAACGGCGGTGGCGGCAGCGGCGACGACGACGATGACGGCGCTGACGTTGGCCAGAGGGATGCTTCTTGGGGAATTCTAGACGCTTCGCGTATCCCCACCAGTCGCTTGGGAAAAAGCTAGAGGCCCAAACCACCCCAGAGACCTTGCCACGGCGATGTGCACCAGGGGACAGCACCAGAGACTAGTTTGCCGCCTATTACACCAGACCTCCTTCAGATACTGTGTGAACCTGGATTGCACTCCTATTGGCGCCGACGAAGCCGCCAGGCTCATCGTCCAGGGTATCACTGTGCCCGATTCCGATCTCCAGGAAGACGACGAGGAGGATGATGACATGCACGAAGGGCAGCCTCCGGCCGCTCCGGCGGATGAAAAGCGGTCTGGGCCCTAATGCTCGACCCCTGTCAGCTGTGCAATCCCCAAGGGCCACACCTGCTGCGTATATGCGGGGCCGCCGGGCCGCACCTCGGCAGACAGGCACCACGAGCCGGAGGGGAAATCCGGCGCCTCCCTATCACAACAAGGGCCACACGAAGTGGGGATCGGCTCGCCGTTCTCCAAACTTGCGACCCCAGGGCGAGCTGGATGCCCCCGGGGGTGGGCTGGTTCCCATGCCCCAGGACAGACAAGGACCCCAGTGCCCTCTGGACCAAGGCCTATTGCAGGCTCTGCGACCAGCACGCCCTCGTGCTCAGAGCTGGCAGGGATATGGATGGGGGTGAGGAAATCACTGTCGGGAACTCCCCGCTCCCCGCCGCCGACACTGCCCAATGGCCCTATGAGCTCACTTTCGACGGAGGAGCGCGCCGAATCGGTGAGGGCGACAAAGTCTCCGGTGCGGCCGCCGTCCTCTGGAGACATGACCCGCGCCGCGGTTACCTGCGTGTCGTCGCTGTCGCTGTTGTCGCCCTCCCAGGCTGTGACAACGCACAGACGGCAGAAGCCTCAGGGTGCAGAGCTGGCCTCGCCCTGCTCCCCCACGTCGAGAGCGCACTCCGAGGTGTCAGGGTGGTAGGCGACAACCTAGCGGCCATCCGATGCGGGGCCGGCACCGGTCGCTATCGTCGGCTCCACCTGGCGCAGCAGATGGATTTTGTCCTCAGGCAAGCCAGTGAGTCCAGCTGGACCCTTACATGGCAGGCAGTACGACGCCGCCTCAACAAAGCAGCCGACCGCCTTGCGACTCTAGGGGTCTTTTGGGCTGACGCCCTCCGACACGCCGGTGACCTGGCGGTCACCTCCTGGATCGTCTGGGATGGTTCCCAGCGCCCCCCTCCTCCCCTCTTCCCCGCCGTTGGTGTCGACCTCTGCGACTTGGACCAGGTTGCCCGGTTCGTTGACGCTCTCGAAAATCCTTCTCCCCCCTCTCTCCCCTGATCTCCCCCGCCCCGACACACTAAGGTCCCAACAGTACGCAGCCTTCAGCTGCCGCAGTGATAGCCAGCAGCCTTCAGCTGCCGCCCTGGGACCGACTTGACGCCCTTCGATCATGCTTCAGAACAACCAAGGCCCCATCCGACGGTGGCCCTCCTGTCTGCCGTACAGTGAGGACGGGCCGCCAGTGCGCATGGGCACGCGGGTCTTCCTGGCCCGTTTCTGTCCCTGGATGCGTTGGGTCTACTTCAACGGCGGGTGGCGCCACTGGTGCGAAATCTGCCAGGAGCCCGTAGACGACACACAGCACATCCTAAGCGACAAGCACTACGAGATGTCGGATGCGCGTTGCCAGGACGGTTGGCCCGACCCGAACACCTTTGTCACTCCTGGAAATCTGTGGAGCAATTGTGCAGGGGGTTCCTGGGACGCTTATCACCATGTGTCTATCGTACGGAAACCCTGGCCCGGCTGGAGGCCCGTCAAACCCTCGGTGTCCCAGGACGGTGTGCGTTCGCTCCCGGGTATCTCGATCCCAGAAGACGCTCTGCGCGTGCCCATCACCTACCCTCTTGGGACGACGCGCCAACGTACAACCGCCCTGGAGG